TGTTTGTTTCTCATCATAGTATGTATTGACTCATGTATGAACTGACTCATTGTATGTTTCACTGTTCTAGTAATAGTATTGTAACTTCCTAAACTATATCGATTATAGTTTACTAGTAATGTTGTTTGTATGAATGAACATGTTTGTATACCTTTGCTACCCAAAGGTATTGAAATGAAAGAAGGAACTTTTATATCTATATACATATACATAATATATAACTAGTATTCAAACGACCTTCGGACAAACAACCGATACCCTAACTCCACAACCAAACAAGGAACAGGAGGTAAGGTGAGCTATCAGTCCTAAGTCATTTTAATCCTACTTATATAACTATATCTATATAGATACATATTTGACAAAGTATAAGCTTAAAAGAGTTTAATAAAAGTATTTAACATGTAAAAGAGTTTGTAAAACAGTTTGAAGTAGTTTGATTGATAACATAGTTTGAAAAGTAAGAAATCCACTTGTTTGGTAGTTATTAATCACATGTGATTGATATAATAACTATAATAGTTCAACTTGTATTCCCCCCCCCATAAAAGCATTTAAAATCACTTAAAAGGTTGATTAAGGGGTATGAACTCACCTGTAGTGAGTGGTTTGGATGAACGGATGGTATAGGATGCTAAGTGTCAAGTGAAGACTTGAACACACACACAGATCCTATTTAACATATAATGACACATATATGTATCCAATTAGTCAATTAATAACTAATTAATCAAGTAAAGACACCCTAAATCATGGATAACACTTTGGTTCAAGTGCTAGTAGTACCAAAGGGTTGCATCTAATGGGAGTATGGCCTTACATTTGATTTTATGGCCACAATGGTAATAACACTTGAGTTTACGGCCCATGGTCATTTCCCCATGAGTTTACGGTCGTAAACTCATGGTATTATGTACCATTTTGTGCTTAAAGGTCTTACAAGTCATGATTTAGCATCTTATGGTCAAGTCCAAGCCTTAGGAAGTCAAAGTGACACAATTGCACCACTTCATAGAGTTTACGGCCCATGGACATTTCTCCATGAGTTTACGGCCGTAAACTCCATGTGTTCTTGATCTTTTTGATGTTTAAGGTCCTAAACTATTCAAGGAAGTGATCTAGACTTGTATCCAAGGCTTAGGAAGGGACTAGGGCTCACTATGCCCCCTTCATTAGGGTTTACGGCTCAAGAACATGTCTTGGCCATAAACACCTTATGATCTTGTGTTTCTTGGTGTTTTCTAGTTGAATAAGAAGTGAAGCAAGCCTACAACAAGCCAATGGTAAGAATACTTACAATATAGGAGCTTCTAAGGGTGTTCACGGCCCAAGAACACTAGTGTGTGTTCTTGGTGTTCTTGGTGAAATGAAGAACACTTGAAAATCTAAGAAAATGGAATAATTTCATGGATGAAATCATGTAAGATCACTAGATAATGGAAGAGATCAACTAAACAAGGAAGGAAACACTTACAATCTTGAAGATCTTGACAAAAATTCGGATGATACTTGAGAGAGAATTGTTCTTGACTTGGAAATGGGAAAAATGACTAAGTGTCATTTATATACCCTTTAGGGTTTACGGCCCTAACACTATTTTGGGCCGTAAACTCCAAACTCTTGGAGTTTTGTGACTTAAATGTTGCACAATTAACCCTAAAGTATACTTCCTCTAATTATCTCTTGAAGTACTAGGCTTTAGAACACTCAAACTGACTCCAAAAAGCTTAAAAACTAGCAGAAATAAATGTGAGTTCTATTTAAGTGAATGGTTGTACAAGATAGAAATTTCGGGTTGTCACAGTACTTATATTGAATCTTGACGTAAGAAGTTTTGTTTTCTATTACTCTGATATACTGTTTGATGTAGATTTACACATTCTGGTATCTGAAAATCAATTTTATTATTCTATATATTGATGTGTAGGTTTTTAGTGTGGGTTTCATATGATCTTTATATATATATATATATATATATATATATATATATATATATATATACATATGGAAGCATATATTTACGAAAAACATGTTAAATATTAGGTTCATTGAGGTTTTGTAATTGAATTATTTCATTATTAGATTTTAGGGTTATTGACATAGAAGCACAATGATGTTTTCTGTTTGGTTTTAAAAGGTCCTTCAACTAATTTTCGTACCTCGTACCTCACTAAAGTGACAAATTACTTGTCGTTTATACCATTAAAGCCGGTTACCCGGTAATTAAATGTGACGTAGCCTTTAGATTTTATATTTCTTCAATTAAATGAGATCTCATCAATGACATGTCAACGCCTTCGTATAACTATTCAAAAAATGGCTTTACTCTATTCGGTTATCAAAATCGTGTTGAAGTGTTCAAGATTCTAGGGCTTTTCTCTCCTATTTCTGTAAGTTTTCTCTCGTCTAGGGTTCTTTTATTGTTAAAGTTCATCTGGTTCTTTTCTAGTTAAAGTTCAAGGCGAACCCAGACCCTATTTTCTTGAAAGTGCATTTACACTATAACAGTGTTTTTACAAGACACCCACATACATATACTGGAGGTGAAACGTTCATGTTTATTGATCATGATTTCTTTGGAATGGATTTGCATGTGTGTTGTGAATTTCTAGAATGGTTTATTGGAGAACCTTTTGAGAAACTTTATTACTCAGCATGTGATCTCACTATGGCAAATGGTCTTAGGGTAATAACTAACGAAATGGATTATCAAGTGTTTATCGATGTTACTTATCAATCACGTGAAAGGCCAATAGACCTATATTTAGATCATATTAGGGAAGTATTGAGGACTGGTTCAATGAAGAAAGTGATGAAAGTGGTTTAGTGATCTAGGGGGATGAAAAAGAAACTGCACATGGAATCCCCGATCCTGAACCATCCTATATGTTTTATCCTGGTTTGGAAGATGAAATCAATGGGGCATATTGTACCCCTCTAAACAAGACTAAGGACGATGAGTTTCTTAACAAGTTATGCCTGGAAGGTGGAGAAGAGAAAAAGATTGAAGAGATAGATAATACTAAGGAATTAGATAATGATGTACTTGAGGAACATCTTATCTTTAATCCTCATGTATACTGGAAGAAGCAAGAACCAATTTTAGGCATGAGATTTGAGGATCCAAAACAGCTTAAGAGCATGTTATGTAATTATGCTATTAAAAATGGCTATCAACTATGGTTCGTAAAGAATGACAATAAGAGACTTCTAGTATTGTGTTGTAAAGGTTCTTGTACTTTCAGGCCATGGGCAAGTTGGATGAGTAGATAACACGGTTTTCAAATCAAATCTTTAAAAAGTGAGCATCAATGTGCTGGGAACTACAAAATGGGTTCAATTGTCAATTACAGATGGATTGGTAGCCACTACACCAAGGATATTTTGCATAGACAGAAACTGACAATTAGGCAACTAAGATTGGAGGTCATCAATAAATTTGGTATTGAAGTTAGTATTAGCCAATGCAGAAGGGCCTAACAGTATGCTATGAATATTATTGAAGGTACCCTTATTGAGAATTATGCTAAGCTCTAGTCTTATGGAGAGGAAATTAGAAGATCCAACCCTGGCTCAACATTCAACATGGATGTTCTTACAATACCAGATAGAACTAATCACTTTAGTAAGTATTATGTTTGTTTTGATGGTGTAAAGAAGGGGTGGTTAGAAAGGTGCAGGAAGGTGATTGGAATTGATGGTTGCTTCTTGAAAGGGTATGTTACTGGTGAGTTGCTTTGTGTTGTGGGGAGAGATGCTAGGGACCAAATATACCCAATTGTCTGGGCAGTGGTATGTGTTGAAAACTGGAAATGGTTTATGTCATTGTTAAGTGATGATCTCAATCTTGGTATGGGACAAGGTTTAACTCTTATGTCAGACCAACACAAAGTAAACAAAACATTTTATTATTTCTCTTTCACAAAGTATATTACCCAATTCAATTCTAACTACTTGTATGTTGGTATACGGTATTATGGAAGCTGTCAAAGAATTGTTACCACAAGCTGAGCATTGGCAATATGCAAGGCACATTGTGTCCAACTTCAGTAAAAAGTTTCTAGGGGCACAGTTTGTTAACAAGTTTTGGTCTGCATGTAATGCAATAACAGAACAATCTTTCAAGGAAATAATGAAGGATATTGAGCTTATGAGTCCAGAGGCAAGTAACTACTTGATAAAGAAGGACCCTAGAACATGGTCAAGAGCTTACTATCAAGTTGGTATATGTTTTTCTAGTGTGGAGAATGGAGGATGTGAAAGTTTCAATGCAGTCATAGTTGAAGCCAGGAAGAAACCTATCATCACAATGCTTGAAGAGTTGAGAATGTATATGATGAACAAGTTGTTCACCGCAAAACTTAATGGATGGTCAAGTGATGTTTCACCTGAAATAAGGCTAAGGTTGAATGAGTTAAATCTTAATAAAAGGTTTTGGGAGGTATTGCCAACTGGACTCACCGACTTTGAGACTAAGCCAGGAAGTGAGGCATATGAAGTTGATTTAGACAATAGGACATGTTCATGCAGGATGTGGCAACTTAATGGTTATGGGTGTGTTCATTATGTGGCTGCCATTAGCTACCTCAATAAAGATGTGGAGAAATATGTGGATCCTTATTTTTGTAGAGCAATGTATTTGAAGGCCTACCAGTACAAAATATGTCCAATGAATGGAAGCAAGATGTAGCCTGAAACTAATTACATTCCACCTTTACCCCCCAAGAATAGAAGGATGCCTGGTAGGCCAAAAACTAAAAGAGATAGACATGTGAGTGACAAGGGTGGAAATCATAGAGTTTCTAAGAAGGGTAAGAAGATATCATGTAGTTTGTGCAAAGTGGAAAGACATAATAAGAAGACATGTCTAAATGTTGATAGGTCAAGACCAAACAAGTTACCAACTAGGGTTAATAGGACTAAGGCACCAAAGGTAAATAAAAATTCTTATTTATTATTTATTATTTGTTATTAATTATGTTTCATTTAAAAGGGTGAAAATGCGAAAAAAAAGGACTGCAGAAGTGGCAAGTGGTAGTAAGACAGGAATGGATGGTGGGCATACACATGGTAGTAGGGTTAAGAGGACTAATACAACAAAGGTATATACAAACTCTTACTTATTAATTTTTTTATGTGTTATTAATTATGTTTCATTTAATAGGGTGAAAATGTGAAGAAAAGGACTGTAGAAGTGGCAAGTGGAAGTAGGACAGGAATGGAATGTGGGGATACACAAGGTACTAGGGAGAATGGGACTACACAAGTGACAAGGGAGAGGGGTAATGTTGTAATTACCCAGGTTTAGATGAGGAAAAAGAGTGAAAGGATCATCAAGAAAAATTTAGCAACCCAAGTTATAGGAAAGAATTGAGGGGGTAACACTTCAGAAAAACTTGTCAACTTAATGTAGTTTTTGCAGGGAAACTGCATGGGATGTTTCTTTTATTATGTAGTAAACACATGTTAGGATGTTTTCTTTTAAATATTCTATGTCGGAATTGTTATGTAATGTATGACACTCACTTTGGTTATTAACATATTATCTTGTGGGATCCAGTGTCCTTTGTGTCTTTTTTATGCATTAGATGGTCCCTTGTTTCTTGTCACTACTGGAATTGTTATGTGGACCATGCTACTTAAAAACTTGTTTGTGGACCATATAACAACTCATGCATGATATTATATAATTAATGGACTATATAACTTGCATTCTTTGGGGACCATATAACAATTCATGCAGTATACTATCAACGAAACCATAAAGAAATGTTAAAATAGAATAGAATCCATGCTTTCTATTATAAAATTAGTCCATACAAAAGGTGTTACATGACCATACGTAATGGGGCTAAAGTACATTGCCTATACTAAATTGTCAAAAGGATCATTATTTCATATACCACCATTACACCATCAAACAACACTATACACCCTGCATCACTTACAAGAGATTTTACTTGATTTCCAAATAACTAATCACCCAAAAGACCATCCCCATATCCACCCTGTTCCAAAAAGCACCTATACACCATGACCCACCATCTTACATCACCAACTACAGCTTAAAGTACATGACCACAAACAACAAGTAGACCAGAACAATCAAAACAACATTTTTTAACATTTCAATCTCAATGAGTAGTTCTTGGATCCTAGCTTCAACAAGTTCCTTCCCAGCTTTCCTAAGAAGATTCTGCTTCTCCACCTTCTTCTGCAGCTCAACAACTTGACCATTCCTAACCAAAAGGTTGTTGATCCTAAGTTTCATGTTCCATAACGTATCCTTGTAGTGTCTTGGTAATGTTGGGTCAAGCCACTGGAAGAAGTTGCAACTATCGTTGGATATCTACAAAAAATAGCCACACAACAGAAAAAGGATTTTACTGTTCAAAATTTAGGGTTTTCTCGTTGTAAATGGGGTTTTTTTGTCGATCAAAATAAGGGGTTTGTAGTACAAAAATCAAAACATTAGGTTTAAAACCTATCGATTGTAACAAAGGATACGTTACCATTGATCTTGCACAATTGTAGAAGCGACGAGTTGGGTTGTTAGGCTTCCAAGCTCCTCTGAGCTTTAACATAGGCTGATCACGGCACAAGCAGGGATGATTCACTTCATTCTGGTAAATGGCGACGGTGTTATAGGATTCGGAGGAGGAAGACATGGTCGAAAGGGTTGGTGTTCGTCAGAGGGTAAGGAAATAGTGAATGTTGTTCTATTGAACCCTTACAAAGGTAATATAGTAAGCTGACTGGACACCAGTTGGATATTACAGACCACGTCACATTTGACTTTCGTTGACCAACCGGATAACCGGTAAAAAAATGGATAAAACCTTAATTTGACAGGTAATTTGTTACTTTAGTGGGGTCAGAGGTACGAAAATTAATTGAAGGATCTTTTAAAACAAAACGGAAAACATCATTGTGCTTTTATGTCAATTACCCTATATTTTATTTAGCTTCATGTAATGAAATGTATAAACTATAAAGACACAAATAGCTTAGAACTGCAAGGAAAGTGAAACACGCAAGTGTTATTTTGTTTATATATTTGGATAACTGGATGTTAAGCAACATAAAAAACATGTTCTATTGAAATTGTATATGTAATTGCATATTAAAATTAGTTTTCTTCCAAATGCACTCTTTCACTGTACGTAGAAGCCGTACATTCTCGTCTTTACAAACTATTTGATAAAATGTTGTGTATGCTTTAACGATTTGTTTGTTATTCTGAATGACTTTTCATGAAAGAGGCATGGAGCTGTCTAAGAAAGCAAATGCATCAGAGCATGACGCTGGTGTTGATAAGACTTTCTTATTTACCAATCTTCAAAAAAATTGGAGAAACAGTCAAAGACACAACAGGGAAGAGTTGGTATGTATATGTTCACATTCTTAAGTATATTTTTTTCTTTTAAGCTTAATGGACTTAATGGGGATATGATCCATTAAGAAAGCATTTAAATATATTTTTAATGATGATCATGTTTGAAATGTTTCGGTGACTATGTTTTCTGTTTCTGTCTCTTCATTTTTTTTCTCATCCCTAATTTCTTTTCCAGTTTTGGTTTTGGAGTTGAATACGACATCTGGAGGCTTGAAGACAAACCGTTGTTTTCTTCCAGTAATGTTCCATCCAATTTGGGTTCTGTATATTCAACTCTGTTTCCATATCGAATCTTAATTTGTTGATTTGGCTGTAAAAAAATGTAATAAATATTCATTGATTTACTTCCAAATTTCTCAATCTTTATACTACACCTTTGATGTTGTCGATGGAAATCAAAGTAGAAGGACATGTTCTTATAGCTCAATATGAGAACTTTTCATCATGGAGATAAAGCTAATCCAAAGATATTCCCAACACGGTTTGCTAGACCTGATGGGTAAAACTATAATTTAAGTTTTATCTTTGTATTGTTTTGTGTTAATAGTTCATATGCTATCTGCTTATCTGAGGTCCTGCTTCTTTTTCCCTATTACATCAAATGTTATATGAATAGTGATTTGCAATAGTTAGAACATAAAGCCTCGTGTTATTGACTTACTCTATTACCTTCATTTTTCTACGATTTGTAATTGTGTAGGTGATGGATTCTTAATTGAGCTCTGAAGGAGATTCATAGAGGACACAATATACACTCTTTTAGCTTTATCATCTAAAATATGTGGTGTAATATGTAGGATTTTAGATCCAAAGTTAATTAAAAAAAATGATGAAGACACTAGGTTTTCATTAATAATTCTTAAACTTTTGACTCTAGAATTAAACCCAATACTTTCAAGATTCAATTTTGACAGCAACCATTTGCTGAGTTTTTATTATTATTGGTTTGTTTTTATAGTGAAAATTTGCATGGTGATATGAATTGATGGTGTTGGTGTTTGAAACAGGTACCCATACCTAACACATACATCTGTCATTGGAATCAAATACAAGGATGGTGTTCTCATGGTTGCTGACATGGGAGGTTAGATAATTTTGGCTCACTTCTTAGGAGTAGCAACAAGGAAGGAATGAGTAATGGTGAACATAAAATCCTTCTTTTTTCTCCTATTACCGCATTGTATTTTAATTGTGTTTGAAGATTAAAAAGCCAAAATGAATTTCAGTTAACCTATTTTTAATTGGAGAGCTTCTTAAAGTCTTTTAATAAATAAGTTCTAACCAAATGATAACTTGATATAATCATGAGATTTAAAGCTATATGTTGAAAGTTGAATCATGACTTTTTTTCATGATGAAACAGATATGTGAATATCCTAGTGTTGTCAAAGATAATGAAGAAATGTGAGAATAACTGTATTCTTAAGTTGCTTTATTTTCTCATGCTCATATGTCTGAAATTGGATTATGCAATTGATTGATAATATGTCAATTTTAATAAATAAATCAATAAAATATCTATTGTAAATCCCTTTTGCAAACGGTTAAATTGAAACCGACCCCCGCAAAAAGGGGATACTCTCGTGTATTGGGAAAAGTAATTACTAAACTAGCAGGTGAGCCCGGGCTGAACCCCGGGACAATTTTTTTCTTATTAGGATAAAGAAGTAGCAATTTATGTATAAAATAGTAACTAACTACATATCTAGACTAATTCACACATTTTCATATTATATGAGAAGGTAGTACAGGAAACACCCAAATAAAAATCATAACAAAAAAAATTATAATATGAATGAATGTATTGTGAAGTATATAAACGTCTCCCACTACTACTTTGAAGTCCAAACCTATGAACAAATCTTGTAATATTAACTGCATATCTTTAAGTCGTCCATTAACAACTAAAAAACACACAACTCCCACGAAGTTTGAAGATATTCTTACCAACATTGTGACAATCCGAAATTTCTAGCTTGTATAAACATTCAAATTTATCAGAGTTAGTCTTGTTTGTTAACTTTTAGCCCTATTTGGAGTCTATTCGAGTATTCTAAACTTAGTACATCAAAGGAATCAGTGTTAGGATGAATTGGTTGAAGTTCTAGTTATGAAGCAAACCGAAAACCTCCTCAAAAAGGAGTTTTCGGTCAAGATCTTTGGGTTTTCGGTCAAGGTGACCGAAAACTCCCTTATACATATATATTTCATGATCATTTTGATCATTCTTTCCTTTACAAGTCAATAAAACTTCCATTCTCTCTCAAGTATCATTGAGTTCTTCATTCCAATCTTCAAAATTGTAAGAATTCCTTTCATCTAATTTGTTGATACAAAGCCTTATCTAGTACAACCCTTTGATTTCATCCATGAAATCATCTCTTTTGGGTTAGATCTTCAAGAACACCAAGAACACACACTAGTGTTTTGGTCCAAAATCAACTCTATTAGCCTCTAAATCGTAAGTATTACTTCCCTATACTTGTTATCTAGTTGATACTCTTGATTTAGGGCCTTGAAAATCATCATTTATCCAAGAACAAAAGGTGTTTTCGGTCTAGTGCATCTCCTTAGACCGAAAACCCTTATGAAGGGTGCAATATGACTTTAAGCCTTTCCTAATACTTAGTATTGAGTCTAGAACACTTCATTGATTGTGGAAAGCCCTTAAAAATCACCAAACATCATGAGTTTTCGGCCAACCATTTGGACCGAAAACCCTTTTGGGCGGAAAACCTCTTTGGACCGAAAACTCTTTGGACCGAAAACCCTTTGGGCCGAAAACCTCAAGAAACATACTACTTGGAACGAAAACTCCTTTAAGTGGCTATACAACCCTTTTATGCAATCCTAAGTGATTGTAACACTTCCATTTAAGGATTTCTTATTCCTTAAAGTGTTATTCTTTACCTGATTAGTTGAGTAAACACTAATTGTATTCATATATGTGTCTTTATATGCAAAATAGGATCCGTGTGTGCTCAAGTCTTCACTTGACACTTAGCATCCTTTTTCCGATCTTATATTCGCATCACTCACTTCAGGTGAGTTCATAACCCTTAATCAACCTTTTAAATGATTTTAAATGCTTTTATGGGGGGATACAAGTTGAACTATTATAGTTATTATATCAATCACATATGATTAATAACTACCAAACAAGTGGATTTCTTACTTTTCAAACTGTGTTATCAAACAAACTACTTCAAACTGTTTTTACAAACTCTTTTACATGTTAAATACTTTTATTAAACTCTTTTAAACTTATACTTTGTCAAATGTATATCTATATAGATATAGTTATATAAGTGGAATTGAAAGGACTTAGGACTAAAAGCTCACCTTGCTTCTTTTTCCTTGTTTGGTTGTGGACTTAGGGAATCGGTTATTTGTCCGAAGGTCGTTTGAATCTTAGTTATATATTATGTATATGTGTATAGATATAAAAGTTCCTTCATTCAGTTCAATACCTTTGGGTAGCAAAGGTATACAAACATGTTCATACATACAAACAACATTACTAGTAAACTATAATAGGTATAGTTTAGGAAGTTACAATACTATTACTAGAACAGTGAAACATACAATGAGTCAGTTCATACATGAGTCAATACATACTATGATGAGAAACAAACATAACATACAGATAGAGAACACTATGATGAGAAACAAACATAACATACAGATAGAGAACACTATGATGAGAAACAAACATAACATACAGATAGAGAACACTATGATGAGAAACAAACGATAACATACAGAGAGAACATACATACATACTAGACAGATAGAACATACAATACAGCTAGTACATACAATACATATACAAGAACATTACAACAGTTATGTGAGCCACGTAACGGGGCATGGCATCATCTGTCATGGCCCGTTTTGTATCCAGAATCTCCTTAAATGGGGAGCGTTGAATTTGTGTATAGATCTAAACTGGATTGACTATCCTACACCTTGCTGCTCGCTACAGTGGGACTTGCAAGTCTACGGGTGCCAAATGTCATTTCTTCTGACATCTTTCATCGTCGTGTTTATAGTCGGTAGTATGGTACATGCATATCACATGTTACTTTAAATAACATATTGGTTTAAGGTAATTAGTACAGCAGTAGTTACTTAATATAACACTACAGTACTTTATTATTTCCCCATTGCATTCACTTTGTGATCTTCACACAATGAACGGTAATGTAAAACTATATTTTTGGTTAATGATAGTCATAGTTGGGAAAATACACACTTTTACAAGAAACAGAC